CAGGACTGCTGAAAAATGATGGAGAGAAGAAGATGCTTTTGGAGAGAACAAAAAACCTAGTTAGACTAGCGTTAATGCAGGTACCAGTAGATGGTGCCACTGATACTGCAGTCTCTCCACTTCTGAACATTAATTTTTGTCTCCCCTGTGAGAAAGGGAACAGATTCAATCTCTGATCGCCAATTCACAGTAATTGACCCAAGGCTTTTCCTTATTATATTTCACCTATTTAGAAATACCCAGTCTTGGTATTCTTCCCCATGAAGGAAACCTTTTGTGTTCTGTGAGGGAGTAACAGCAGTGTGCTCTAAGACTTTAATTTTCTCCAAGGTATGTTTAGTTTACAGAGATGGAATTATTAGCTCTCAGCAGGCAGGTAATTGTTCAGAGTGGAATAAAACTTTCTGCTGTTTGTCTTAAAAGAGATGCCGTACAGAAATCCCCTAAGTTAAAACACACCCCCTCAATTCAGCTAATGTCCTTTTTTAGTTTAGCTTGTGTGTTTATTTGTGTGTGAAGTAAAGAGACTTTTACTTCTCTGAGAGTTAACGGCTAAATGCTTAATAACATCATAGTAATTTGCTGTGGCTAGTCATCCTTGACTGTGTGTTCAAACAAGCTTGAAAACTGTAAATACTGCTTCAGTTATTGATTAACAAGAGAGAATAAAAACTGTTAAATAGGTAACTGGGATACCTGCAATGTTTCACCAGGAGTATGTATTATCAGGAGGCTGCTTACCTATGCCTCTTTCAGGTAGTATATTCTGATGCTTCTAGTCCACGATTTAAATACATACCCCTCTTTTTCTGTGTGGATATTAAAGGTCTTGGAAATGTGGTCTAGTGACATAGCAGTAGAAAGGAGAGGGGAGGCAGTCGTGTGTGCTTTGTGTTGGGTTTTTTGTCTTGACGCTCTTCCAGTTTTACTTTGTGCCAGGGCAAGCTCTATGTATCGACTGTGCTTTTAGATATTTTTGGCAGCATCTATTTTTCTTTTTTCCTTTTCCCTAGGAGTAGGGAAAACCTTAATCCTTCATAAAGTGTAAACTCAAGATCCATTTTTCCCTTACAGGCAATTCTCACTTGAAGCATGCAAATTTAAGATCTTTCTCTCCACTTAAAACAGTGTGCTTGTTCTACAGTTCATCTCTTTACAGCATTACCTTAGGTTCTGGAAATAAAATTTCTTTCTTCAGCTTGTTAAATGGTATTATGAGGCTTCAGAGTGCAGTTGGTTTCTCTGTGTTTAAAAGTCATACATGCACTTTTGTGCAGAACAGCTGTGTTATGTTCTGTGTCCTGTTGCACGATGCCACAAACCAGGCTTAAGGGCATTTATCCCATTTTTACAACCAGATAGTCTTTGATGGAAAGAAACAAAGTACAAACTAAAGGTAACACAAATTGCCCTCCGAAATTCTCTATGGGAAACGTGATACTAAGAAATGGGTATGAGGGCATGTCATCAAGGAAAGATAAAAGAAAATAAGGAAAGTTCTATTGAAACTTTTGAAGTATTACCATTTGTGGCAATACTAGCAGAGTTTTGGGGAAAAGGGTTACCACATCACATCTGCTGAGCTTTATTTTACAGAGTAACACTACTACCTTCATTTAGAAGTTCACTGCCTTAAAAATAAAGGTGTTCTTTCTGATTATGTCTGCTGCTAAAAAAAAAATTGCAGTAGGAAATGGAGTTGTCTGTAAGAAGTTTTTGTTTTCCTTATTGAGGTGGATCTGAATTTTGTTTGTGTCTGGTAATTTCTTAAAGGTCGAATTCTGTAGTTACGATAGTGTTTGGCATTTCAGCTAAGGCAGCAGTTTTGAAAGGAAATTAACTGTGAAGAATTCCAATAGGAGGTGATAGTATACCTTTTTGTATCGTTATTTTTAAATGACATTGCAATCTGAAGTGTGAGCCCATAAAATTGCATGTACATAGTTCTGTGAGTATATGTACATCAATTCTTTTCACAAGCAAAATGGTATTCGTAAGCGTAGACATAAGTACATTTTTGTCTATATCATAAATTACTTGTCTATTTTATTATGTCCTTTGTTTGCAGGTTGGATTTGCTACCATTTTATGCAAGGCTGGTTGCCACATTGCATCCCTGTATGTCTGATGTAGCAGAGGATCTTTGTTCCATGCTGAAAGGGGATTTCAGGTTTCATGTATGTTCTGTTGGTTTAGTTTTTTACATTCCAATTAACCAATCTGATAATTGCCATCTTTTGGAGAAAAAATAATGTTTGATATTATGTAGATGATAATTATAAAATCTAGTGACTCAGTTTGGAATATTTTTGTGTCATCTGAGCAGATTTGTTCTGTAATACTAGGTTTGTATGTTTTTATATATTAAAAAAGAATTCTTTATGTAGACAGGTATGGTAAGTTGTATTGTTTGTGGTGTCATCCTTAATTTCCAGTGTTAAACAGTGATTGAAGTGAACTGTGTAACAGTTACAACAAAAGTTGCAAAAATGAGAAACTGTGCGCCAACTGTAAGTGTTAAAGAGTTTCCTGTTAATTAATAACTTACATTTAAAATGAGAACTGACCTATTCCAATAGCAGATCCCCACTACAAGGTTACTATTGTAATACAGTGGTTACTATTGTAATGTAGTGTGTAATGTAGTGCTTGATTCTAAAAAATAGTATTCTTTGCACTTTTTATCAATCAAAATTTTCAATACCTCAAATTTTTTTTCAGTGGTGTTTCTTTCACTTTGTTCTAAAGTTTTGTAGTAGAATTGGTTATGGTGTACAGTGATGACTCCTTCACTGTTTTCTGAATTTTATGGCACAGGTATTAAAATTTTTTTTTTTCCCATTATCAACACTAAAAATGTGTATTAATTACTCAGACTTCAATTAAGTCTTAGCTATCTGAAATTAACTGTCAGAAGAAGTTATTTCTGTTGTGGAGAAATAAAATTCTGTATTTTGCTGAACATGAATACGTTTAGAAACAGAGTTAAATTTGTAGTTTGTCAGTACAGTTATGCTGGCTGTCAGTGATTTTTGAAAGGAAAAAAAGAAAAGAAAAAAGTCTACACTCTGTTAAACCTGATTTGAAAAAGCTATCAATATTCATATTTCCTTAGGGACTATACCAGTGGTCCTAGTCATATAAACACTAATTATTGATTCTAAAAACATAGACTCTAGAATTCTAAACCACTACTTCACCACAGCAAAACAGGGTGGCCAGGTTGATGTGTGTCTATAACTGTAGGTATATTAGAGGACTTTATTTTTTGAGGGGGCAGAGGTGTGGGTGAAAATTCAAAAGCTCCTGAAGAAACAAGGTTGTAGAGAGGCTTTTAGGAAACTTGGTGATAGATAAAGGTAGAGCATAAGTAACCGAACAAGTGTCAAATACTTCTGAATTCTCAAGCTTATTAAGCACATTTGAGTCAAAGTAATTTGTAAGAGGTAGGTATTTTTGAGGGTCTAAAATAAAATGTGTTTCTTCTTCAGGTAAGAAAAAAGGACCAGATCAACATTGAAACAAAGAATAAAACTGTGAGGTTTATTGGTGAGCTTACCAAGTTTAAGATGTTCTCCAAAAACGATACTCTTCACTGTTTAAAGGTTAGCGTTGTGATAGTCCTGTACTACCGCGTTTGCTGATAATGTATCCTCATGCTATTCCCCTTCATATCTATTGCTGATGTTACCCAATAATTCATTGCATACAATGTCTTAAACCCTGATGTCTGTTGCTCCTGTGTATGAGGAGACTTTTATAGCTGTTCTAGAAGTTAGAATGTCTTAATTGTTCTGATGGTAGGAGTATATTAAACTTTCACCTTCGGACATAACCAAATTACTAATAATTTTCTTTGTAAAGCAATGGTAGACATTGCTGCTTATTCATTTGTTGTGTCTTGCAAAACGAAGTGAGCTTTTCTTTCTATTATGTTGATTTCAATTAATATTTTTAATGTTTTTACAGAGAAAATAACAGTAAGGGAGAGTGGTTAGAGGCAGATAGCTTCTCAATGATGCAAGGAGAGACTTACATGCCATTTTAGCATGCTTTTGTTTATTGAGGAACAAAAATAAATCTTTGGAAAGCATTAATCTCTGGCCATATTATCTCAATTTGCATGCTGATAAACATTCAAACTTATCTTTGATGTCAAGTCCCAAATTGAAAATGGATTTTACAAATAAAAGTGCCTTTATAAAGGTGGTTGAAGACTCACATGGGTTAAGATCATTTCCTCTAGGAATAGTTTCTGTTCATGACTTATGAATTGAAGGTCAATTCTTAAAAAGTTATACTTGCTCATCATTTTTCCTCTCTCATCTATAAAATACTGTAGAATGCAAAGCTCTACTAATTTTTAGTTGTTGCTTAACTTACACAATACAATTAAATTTTATGTGCTTTGAAGTTATTGCATCCCTGTGCAAGGTTATTCGGTGGTTTTCCAGTCTAGCAGCAGGAGTTTTAAAGCAGATGGAACAGAGCTGGAAGGGGTATGGGAGAAATTATAGTGCTTGTTTTAATATTTTAGTCTTTTTATGCTAGGCTTAGGAAGTATCCTGTTTTTAGCTTTCTGTAGTCTAAATACGGAGTCTAGGCTGTTCTTAAATACTTTTAAATGAGATGAATATTTTGATCTCATTCACTGATAATCAGTGAAATCAGTTTGCTTTTTCTTTCTTAAAGAATATGGACCACCACAATAGTGTAAAGTCTAGTAGATATAACTTAGTCTTCTGCAGTTGAAGATTATGTTTAACATGGTTGTGTTTTTATATAAATATATATCAGATGCTTCTGTCAGACTTTTCTCATCACCATATTGAAATGGCATGTACTCTGCTGGAAACCTGTGGAAGATTCCTGTTTAGATCACCAGAATCTCACTTAAGAACCAGTGTTCTTTTGGTAAGAGAAAACTCATTGTTTTATGGTGGAGGGTGTCATGGACTGAATTAAACTAATGACTTCTTTTATTTTCTGACTTTGATGCAGTCTGACCATAATGATGATTGTGATTAATATGTTAATTATCTGTTACAATGTTCAAGCACTAGTAAGTGAAGACTTGTCATGAATAACAGGGGGATAACGTTCTTGATTCTTTAATAGAAACAGAGATGGCTATGGAGGGAGAATGAATCCGTTTTCCTGAAATCTCCTCATTGTGGAATGAGGTTGAGATGGACTGGTGTTAGATATTTTCAAGTCCTAGGCTGCTTTGGCACTGTCAGCCTTTTTTTGTGGTCCTATGGACTTTTATGATGTTGTTATTTATAGCCTGCCCAGTGTAGTTTCAGCTCTGAGATTGCACTTCCTGTGAGAATAGCTTTCTGAAAGTGTTGTGGAGAACTCCAGTTGACTTATAAATCTGTTAATGATTTAAATGTCAATAAAGACTTAAACTTCTGAAGCAAAAAGCTATTGCTTTTGAACTGCAGATAATTCAGATGTAGGGCAAAAACAGAGTGAGGTTGAAAGAATAGAGAGGCTGTACCTGAACATGTCTGAGATTCTATTTGAGAGGAAAAATGGTAATGAACAGAACTGGAGATAAGATATTCCAAATGGAGATGAAGACAGTTGTGAAAGAGGTGGTATATGTGCCCTGTGTAGCAATCTGAGGTTCTCAGTTTGAAGAACAAGTTTATGAAGACACTAGAGGAAGGAGTTTTAGAAGCAGAAATCGGTAATTAAGGCAAGAGTAGAAGTGGTATCTGTAAGTCTAGATAGGTACTGGGAAAGATTTAAAAATAACAAGGATTAGCTTTGGTTCTTTTTTAGTGTATGAATTTTGAGCCCTGAATAATGTGTTTACTGGCTTGAGAGACAATCCTAAAACTGTGTCTAAGGCAAGAGACCAAGTCAAACATGGTTGAAGAAGTCCTTCGAAGATGGATACTGGCAATAGCAAATTGCATTAAGTTAAAAGCAGCTTAAGCAGATACAGACCAACTAATAGACCATGTTGTATTAGAAGCATGACAGGATGTTTTAATGTTCCCTTCAAATCCATGCACTTCAGGAAGAACATAGACATGTATCTGCAGTAAAGAAAGTACTTGCTGCGTTTGGGGGAGAAGGTGTACATAGTTTGCCCATTGGGAAGGCAGCAGTTTAAGTGTTTGGAATGTCTTTCTAGAGATACAGTTCTTAAGCTGTGAAATACCACTGTCTTCTGTATCTATCTCCTTTCTTATCAAAGCACAGGCTTGCACTTGACAGGTCTTTCTCTTGAATCTATAGCCTCTTTTCTCAGTCTGTAGAGTTAATGGAGGAGCAGTTGTTGCATATGTGGGTATATTGTTGTACAATTTCGTTTCCACAAAATGCTGTTTCTTTCTGAAGTTCTTTGACTGTCATAGCATTTTTTGTAGTGGTGTAGTCACAAGAGGAAAGAGATGGACAAATTATCTGCAAGTTCTTGGCTCAGGCTTTTTGTTGCTGAGTGTATTTTATCTTGAAAGGTTTGAATATCTCAATTTTCTAAAGGTTTGCCAGCTGATGTGTTTTATTGCTAAATATATTCCTTTCCATAATGAAGTATTTTTCCCCTGGAAATGGTGTTCCGTTATTTTTAAAAGACACTTTACTCACTGCTACTATTTTTTTTGTAGTTAAAAATTTTAGAAGTCAGGAAAAATTAGATAGCTTTCCCAGAGCTACTTTCCGTAACTGTCTGCTTTTAGTCTTAACGCACCACAAAGTGCAAAAACAACTACTGATTGTTAGCTGTATTGCTGAAATGAGCTGGATGAATGCGAAGCATGACTTAACTGTGAAGTGTAGGACAAACCACAAACACTGTTTCTCAGTCACTGAGGCTTAAAGCCTCAGAAGGTTTCAGTTAAGTTGTGTTTTCTTATGCATTTAGGAACCAGGAGAAGAGAGAGATGGCAAATAAGTTTGGAATATCCATTGGTTGAGATGTAAAATAGGCTAAATAGACTTCTGTTCTACAATCATCTTAATAGCTGCATCTTTTAATGTTGCCCTATGGAAACTATAGAGATTAATTTTGACTTAAATGGTATTATGCAAATTGGGTCATAGTCTTATGGTACCAGTTAGTCTGAACTGCAGAAAAGATTATTCCCAAAGCAAGCTAATTAGGACCTTATGGTAAAAGTCTAAATAAATGTAAAGCTGATCTTATCAATCACTCTTATGGATAGAATTAAGGCCTGTTGATCTTTCAAGCATTTATTGGTCTTAATCTTTACTGCTGATGATGTATTATGTAATAAGATGCCAAACAGGCTGTATGTCTCCTGTTAAAGATGATATTGCTTTGTCCTGGTGTGGAAGAAAGTCATAGTTAAGAATGGGGGTTTTTTTATTCCTTAATTTTCCCTTAATTACTTTTAAAGTAAAGTGTTACATAAGTGCCGCAAACTTAAGCAGCACTGTGTGACTTATTCTATAGAAACATTTATTGATCACATTCTGGTTTTGTGGAACTACTGTCATGTTTTACAAATTATTTAAAGAATCTTCTTTTTTCAGGGCTGTGTTTATTCCTTTTAATTATTATTCTTGGCAAGTCTTTCAAATTCAATGTCCTTTTATGTAATTCAAAATATTAATGTAAAACTAACTTGGCTTTAGGATTGGTCTGTTGATAAATGGATTATTTGAATTGGATTATTTGAATTGGTGCTTTGGAAGGAAGATCAGCATTATCTTGATCTATTTCTGTAATGTAATCATGTTGAAATGTCAAATTCTTGTGTTATGCTGTTGTGGCCTTGTTAAAAGAAAATGTGAAGTTTTGGTATTAAAAGCCTTCTGGTGTATTTTTAAACCTTTAACTTAGACAATTGTGTTAAATGGTCTTTTTAAGCTTTAGAGCAAGGTCACTTGTATTTATAAACATACAGATGTTAAGCTACATGGTGGCTTGTTTCTTGGGGTGACTCTTTACAGATGGAGTTGAAGCTGGGAGAACATTGTACAGACAGAGGCTGTGACAAAGTAATTGCAGTTAGAATGAGACTCTGCTAATTCATTGTAACTATAGTGTGCTTCCAAGAAATTTAAAATGTTGGTTTTGAACTGTTTGAACAAGTACCAGGGCAGAGCAGTGTAGGTAGGAAAGGGAAGGAGGAGCTAAACAGTTTCAGTATCTTACTACAGTGTGGTCATTTAACTGTCAGTCATGTTGAAATGCTTTCTGAATTGGGCTTTTCCTGCTGCTTAGGTTTTATTTGGTGACTTCTCTTTTTTTGCGTGCTGCTTTGCAAAAATTCATTCTGTTTCTTGCAATGCAAACTGGTATTACCAGCTTGGGGCTAGGGGCAAGGCTATTAACCAGAGGAGCACCTCCTAATTCTCACCAGATTTTCATTTGAAATGGGTCTGCCATATAATGTTACATGCAGAGAGGTTTTGTTACTTGTCAAGAAAAAAAACCCCAAACAAACGCTTTTACTGTTTTAACTTGAACATTTTAATGTTGTTTGTGATCCCTTTTTATCAAAGGAAAAACAGAAACCTAATCTTCAAATGTAGTGCTTTACCTTTGTAGTTCTTCATTTTAGCCTAATAAAATGAAGACCCAAAGTAGTTAATTAGCTTAAGGCACTTTAGACTGCATATCTTGCTTTTTCCTTCTGAAATACGTCAAGGTGGTTGTTATTGTCAGCAGTGTATTGCTATGGTCTCTCTTTCCTGCCTGTCCAGCTGACTTGATGCCTCCAGTGAAAAAGGATTGAAACACACTGTTGCTTAAAATGGTGATGACTTTTAATAGAGATTAAGACTTAAGACCATCTGCCTAGAGTTAGAATACATGCTTGAGATTGCTCAAAAAAATGATAAATTACAGTGAATTTAAGACTTGCGCTAGTGCATATCTTCTCCTGGGAAGAAACATTTTAATTGTAACCTATTATTTACAGTTATAATGTGCAACTTTTTATAACGGAAAAATATACAAATTATGTAGTTTTAGGGGTGGGTTTTTTTAGGTTTTATTTGCAAGCCCTTCGGCCATTTTCTCTGTTATGCTTTACTTTGCCCTACTTAGTTTTTCAGTTTATAATAAAACATGATAAATGTCATTCAGGCAGCAAAGATGTTTTCTCCTGATGCATCTAGAAATGGTGAAAAATGTACAAAGGTAATATTATCATATATAATATAGTAAGGTTTTGGAACTTTATACTGTGTTTTTTTCCCCCCACATAAAACAATTTATGTACTCAATTGTTAAAAGTGCTGTGCATCTTCTAAGCACCTGTAGGTAAATTTGCTACTACTTGATAGAAATTTCCTATGTGGAAAAGAACGGTCTCAGGGAATCAAAGGGGAGGCCATTTGTGTCATGGAAAAGGTTAAAAATGAAATGCTTCAGGGCTGGTGTCAGATTGAGACCATCCTGGCAACAGATGCATACAACCTAGGAGCAAAATTATGTTATTTGTTGGGTTACTATGTTACACAAAGCTACTCTTCCTCACTGAATTAGCAGCTGAAACTCAAGGTTAAGGAGCTGTTTGAGTACATTTACATTTCAGTTGAACTGAACCACTGCCTTCTAAAAGAAACTTATTCAAGTTTAGTGGAAAGTCCACGAGCATGAAAAATTGTGCTGCTTTGCCAAGGATCAAAGAAGGTTTAAACTCTTTTCATTAGTTTACTGGACTAATATGCACTAATATTTGCATGTGGTGATAAAACAGTACTTGCACGTTAGTTTTGTTTATCTGATGCTGTAAATTACTCTGTAGCCAACCTCTATTTAAACCAATGTATTTTCTTTTCCTGGTGAACCACCTTAGAGTGATTTAGAATAGACGGGATCATATGTACGTAAAAAATTTAATGCAACTTACAGAATTACACACAATTTTTAGAATTATACATGTGTAGACATATAAACACACAGATGCATATAAAATATTTTATACTGGAATTAAGCTCATTCTCATCTTTAACTCTAGAAATCAGCAGCTTAGAACTACTACTTTTGTACTTGTATTGAATTTTTAGATCCAAGAATTTTTTAAAACCCACAAAATAAATCTTAAAGTACATATCAAAATTAAGTATGGAGAAGAGATTGTATTCTGTGAGGAAAATTAGCACAGTCCTCACAATTAAGCACAGTGACTACTGTTGATGTATTAACATGCAACTTACCTGATTTTTCCTGAAATAATCCTTTATGGTAGATACCGTTTTCCTTGCGGTCTATTCTGCTTGGGTAAACAACAACAATGGAGCATGTAATAAGAAAAATGCCATTGCCTAAACCACTGAACATTCATGTGAAATATGAATATTCATATTCATATTCAATATGAATATTTATATTGACACTTTCTGGAGTTATAAACTTTCTGGAGTTGCATATTGATGTAAAAATCAGATTGCCATTCTTACAATGATTCACTATGGTTATGTCAAGAAATCGGTATTTCAACTACTTTAGTTAAATAAAATCATGTTTTTAATAGAGCGGCTAATAATCTTATTAACCATTTATCTGAACAGTAACATTTAGATTTCAAGTTAAACTTCAAATACTTTTCTGAAACTTTTTTTTTTCACCCCAGTTGAACCATTATAAAAATTGGGATTATAAAGAAAAATTACCTTGGAAACAGCAACACAGAGCCATCTATATGCTTTGTCCTTTCTTGTCTGTATGCAAGCTTTTAACTTCCTTTTCTGCAAACTTTCATGTTTCTTTTATACCAGACTTAACTGTAAAAGCCTTTGGCTTGAAAATGTAGTATGTCAACATCTTTCACTGATTACTTGCATTTATTTGCAGGAACAAATGATGAGAAAAAAACAAGCAATGCATCTAGATGCACGCTATGTTACAATGGTAGAAAATGCCTATTACTACTGTAATCCTCCTCCAGCTGAAAAAACTGTGAAGAAGAAACGTCCCCCTTTGCAGGAGTATATTCGGAAGCTTCTCTACAAGGATCTGTCCAAGGTCACCACAGAGAAGGTAAATCCTTTTGAAATCTTTTATATAGATTTTACTGGAAGTGATGCAGTATTAACTTTCAAAGAGCTTGGGGAGGGTTATAATTTTTTTTTTAATTGCAAGGAAGAGGGATTGTTTTTCTATCCCTGATTAAGATAGTTTAATTTCTTTTATTGTAATGCATGGAAGCTCCAATCACAGACCTTCATTCTCCACAGTCATTAAGTGCTGAACAAATAGAGAATGAAATAAGAATCTTTGTACAAAATATCTAACATTCAGAGTAGAAGACTAAAGTTAAATACAGACTTTAAGAGCAAGGAAATTATGGAACAGGTTTGGACAGCTTGATTAATAGTTAGAGGACAGCAGTTGGGTTACATCTGTAAACTTTTCTGTAACTACTGCAGATCTGCAGGATGCTTGAAAAAGATTGAGATTGCTTGCAGATGCTTTCAGGGATTTCATCCCAGTGTGAGACAGAGGGCATGATAGTGAATATCTTGATATTTTGCCCGCTAAAATGTTAAGCTTGTCTTAAAACCTGGTTTAGGTCCTGAGACAGATGCGCAAGCTGCCTTGGCAGGATGCAGAAGTAAAAGACTATGTTATATGCTGTATGATCAACATCTGGAATGTGAAATATAATAGTATTCACTGCGTAGCCAACCTCTTAGCAGGGTTGGTCCTTTACCAGGAAGATGTCGGAATCCATGTTGTGGATGGAGTGCTAGAGGATATTCGACTGGGAATGGAGGTAAACAGCCAACGTTTTTATTAAGCTGTACTCTTCCACTTATGTTGAAAGGAAAACAATAAAATAATCATGCCTAAAGAAAAGAATCCTTGGATTCTGGATTTTTGTCTGACGACTTTGTTAGAAAAGTCTCAGTTGTTTGCTTTATGTAGGTTTATTTGAATTTAAAAAATGAACTTCCCCCCAGAAAATGAACAAACTCTAAAAGTAGGACAGTTATTTTGACCCCCTTATTATAGGAAGGGGATACAATTTATTCTAGCACAGTGTAGCCAGATTCATGAAACTTCAAGTAACTTTGGAGACTAGCCCATATTTTCATAGGGGGTTATAGTTAAAAGAATTCTCTGGGCAGTGAAAAATCATCCTAGATTGAAGAGAGAGTTTGTTAAATGTATTTGAACTTTATAATACTTACTAATTGACCAGCTTTCATAAATAACCTTCAGTACTTTTAAATGTTTAATTTTGTGTAATGTACGTAGCCATAAATAACCATCTTTTATTGTAATGAATTTGTTCAATTTAAATTAAAAAAAAAAGCCCCCAAACTCACAACCTTTAACAAAGATTCTATTGTATCTGCGTGATTAAGTGATTCTTTTTTTGTTGCTGTTGTTCTTTGATAAAGGTTAACCAACCAAAGTTTAACCAGCGGCGCATCAGCAGTGCCAAGTTTTTGGGGGAACTTTACAATTATCGAATGGTGGAATCAGCTGTAATATTTCGAACTCTGTATTCTTTCACATCATTTGGTGTGAACCCTGATGGTAGTCCTAGTCCTCTGGACCCTCCAGAGCATCTTTTCAGAATCAGACTAGTCTGTACAATCCTTGATACCTGTGGGCAGTATTTTGACAGAGGATCCAGCAAACGGAAACTTGATTGCTTCCTTGTATATTTTCAGGTATTGTAAACTAAATTTTGTATAGCTTTGTAGGTATCTTTAACAAGCGAATGTAGATCAGTCTGTTACGTGTTTCTCTCATTCTTCTCTAGCACTGTAATTTTTAGAATTCTGTCTGACTGATAGCAGTTTTATTTAGAAGTGACATGTATGTTCAGTTGTATGTAGATATTACTGTTCCAACAAACTTGCAGAACACTGAGGTAGCGGTTGATTCAGTGAAGGGTTTAGGTTCCATCCTTTAGGGGGTCTTGGCAAGTGGAAAAATGGGCTGACAGAAACTTTGTGAATTCCAGCAAAGGTAAGTATCAAGTTTTCTAGTTGGGATGGAATAGCTCCATGCAACAATACAGCCTGGCACTGACTACCTAGAAGGCAGCTTTGCAGGAGCAGAGCTGGGCCTCCTGGGCTATATGAACATGACATTAAGTTCTGCACCATTAGGGTGATGAAGGTCAAAAGCATATGATGTTGTATTGGCAAGGATGTAGCCAGTGTATTTGAGGAAAGTGATTTCTTTTTTACTATTTTTTTTCTCACTTCTCTCCTGCTTGGCACTTATGAGGCCACATCTGGAGCACTGTTTCCAGTTCAGGGCTCCCTGGCAGATGAGAGACATCAGCAAACTAGGCTGAGTCCAGAGGAGGGTCACCAAAATGACGAGGAAGCTTTCAGTTCTCACATTGTGGGTTTGCTCAGCTTGGGGAGGAGAATGCTAATTAGGTTGCTGTCCTCAGCTAATAGTGTTTGTAGCGGAGGAGTCAGATACTTACCAGGTGTGCACAGTGAAAGGATGAGAAGTAATGGTCACAAGTTGCAGCAAGGAAAGTTCTGATTCAGTAGATGTAAGGAGGGTGGGGGGAAGATTTCATAACGGCAGTGTTTAAACACTGAAATGGGTTCCTCTGAGCAAATGTGGAATTCCAGTCCGTGGAATTCACGCTAAAACTCTTTGGACTTAATTTCTTTTTTCTTTCTGATTCTCTCTTTAAATTATATTAAAACAAGGATATTAAAAATTAAGGTGTTAACAACTTACTTCAAGCCTTCAGGATGCATATCCTGCATCTGTATCTGACATGTAAAATGATTTTTTTCAAGTACAGTGTGGTCCTATTTTTAAATCCAAAATAAACTTGTCAGTGAAGAAGGCATGCGTTTGTTACACCTTACAATTTCAACAAGTGTTCCTTTGACCATGTCACCTTTTAAATAAACATTATGTTACTCATACTTCATTTTCAGATGCAATTTTTGCAACACCTTTTTTCTCAGATTCTGCTGTTAGGTTCACTTAAGATCAGCATTTATTTTTTACAAGTTTATTGTGAAGGATATATGCTAATTTGTTATAAAGCAAACTGGGTAAGTAAGTCACCATGCTTGCTGCAGTCTTAAAACTTTTTGTGACATTTCCCCCTTTCTCCACATAATATGCCTTTGGGGGAAGTACTTTTGTTGAAGATATCTGGAAGGAAGTGAAAGCTGGCCGAGATGTTGCTCATCTCTTATTGAAAGAATCTACCGTTAGAAGGCACTTTCTTTCCAGTGCTTTTTTGCTTGGTCTTCATACTTCTAACAGTTGTTACACTAAAAGGAGCATATTCTTAATGTTTGTGATGATATCCATGGTTACCAACAATGTTTAGTGACATCAGAATATCTAATAGTCACATGAAATAAGAGAGTAGTGATATGAAATCTTTTGTACTTTCTACTGTACAAACAAGTCTAGGCGTTACAAACTTCGTAAGTTAAATAGTTTATAAATGCCAGTGTGCATATAATTTATTTGAATATTTTTGTATTCTAGAGGTATGTTTGGTGGAAAAAAAGTCTGGATGTTTGGACAAAAGACCACCCATTTCCTATAGACATAGACTATATGATCAGTGATACACTGGAACTGCTGAGACCAAAGATAAAACTCTGCAATTCTCTGGAAGAAGCTATCAGACAAGTGCAAGACTTGGAACGAGAATTCTTAATAAAATTAGGTAAGAGAATGTGCAAGGGAAATAAGGTCTTTTTGACAGTTCCTGTATTTCTTAAAATTATCTTTTGTGTATGAAGATGATGGATAACTATTGTTGTCCTCATATATGATCTTTTTATTCTCATGATAGAAATATTTTTGTAACTTCTCTGCATTTTTCTGATCACTGTAGAGATTATATAGACTCTCCATAACTCTAAAGTGGTTGAGTGTTTAAAAGAAAAAGGTCAATATGAATACTATTAATACAGTAGTATTTGGAGAGGGGGAGTGTGTGTGTATATATATGAGTATATGGAGTACTATGGTGCAAATGATGAGGAAGCAAACTATGAATTCAATCAGAAAAATTTAGGAAGCACACTACTACAAAAAGCAAGGAGTACCTGTGCACTCAATTAGTGCAGCTTGTTGGTTGGTGAGGACTGATGAAAACCAGCTTTGTCATTTTGGTAGATTGGTTGCTTGCAGCTCTGTTCATTCCCCAGTTCTGGAGTTGACTAGAGCTGCTGTGTCAAAATAAGCATTAGTGTAAGACTACAAAAAAAGAGAACACATTTTGCTGTTAACACACTGTCAGGTACTTTGAATCTTACCCTTCCTTTGGAATAATTTTGAATGGGCTTTACATTTTGGTAGAGGCCAGAGGATTATTTCCTTTTCATCCTCTGTTAGAGCTTTGGTTGGACTATTAAAGGTTTTTTTCTTAAACTGTATCTTTTGGCTTGGTTGTGTGCTACCTTGTAGTTCCTGCTAGGACTACAGTGACATATATTTATAAATCTTGATGTGTTAAAAACAATTAATTTCAGTAGAAAAAAGTTGGTCTTGCAGCACAGCTCAGTTGACAAAATACTGGTTAGCATGTATCTAAAACTGCTATCAACATGTTAACCTTTAAACCTTTTGTACATATCCGTTCTCGCTAGTTATCGGATACTACTGTGCTCATTGCTCATTAAATTGAGTTGTCTTCTAATCTTCCATTTTTATTTGAAGACAAGTTTGTTCATGAAAAGCTTTTATATGTAAATTTTACACTTTCTAACTGTTAATTGTCGAACTAGATGAAGTGCTATTAAGGCTACAAGTTCAATTTTTAATAATAGTCCTTTAATCCAGTGGGATCAGTATGTCTAATTGCCAGGTAAAATGTTGCAACTTATGTTTTGGGAGGAATTTGTATTTTAAATATGCTGTTCGTTTAATTGACATGCCGTAAAGTTACCTATGTAGTAACTGAAATGCAGACAAAAATTTCCTTATGGCATGATCTAAACTTACTAGCTTTTATGCTGTCAAAATGATAACTGAGAAGTAATTTACAACTACTTATATAAACTGTAATATGTGTTTGAAAGATACTTGGCACTTCCTTCCTACAGATCATAAGAACTTCTGTTCTCTGAATCACCACCGCTATAAACAGTTGGATTCGGTGTGGTTAAGGGGGAATAGGTGGTCACTGAATATGAGCAAGTGTTGGAGACACTTTATTGTGTGTGTTTTGGCATCAGTAAAGCCCATCCTTTAAAAAGGGTGTTGTGTTGTGTGTCCCTGCCAACTGTGTTGCCTTTCTTGATACCGATATTTCTTTGCTTGCTATTAAATTAAACATGAGTATAGGGTGCGATAGTTCCCAGTCCTCCTATTAGGACTGTTTGAAGGTGGTCTCAGGATGGTTGTCGTCTGCCTTTCTGATCTTTGTAGGTTATGATGATAGGTGCCAGCATATCTGAAGAAAACGAGTTTTTTGCTACTTTAACAAAAGCTCCAGTAAAACTGTCGTTCTTGCTCAATTAGTCCCCGTAGTTCCTCGGCCAATGGACAAAACCACTGAGAAGGTATCATGCTAAAGACGGTGACGTCCTTTGCTCTTTGTCACTCTGCAGTGTAATTCTAGGCAGAAGAGTGGGGTGTCTTGTTGCCTGCAGACCTTGAGTTGGGGACTGACTGTCGGTTCCTGTGCTGCACTGGTGATTTTGTGCTGGTGGGAATATAGAGTGATTCAAAAGAAATGCTTGCATCATTACAGAGCAGCACATATTTTGAAGAGCACAGTGTTTACAAATGGGGCGGGGGGTGGGGGAGAATGCTTTAAACCTCTGGAATATGAAGGAGGAAGTGTGTGTGTTCACACAGAACTGGAATCCCCGATAACTACCATACAACCATATATACCATTTATTTTATTTCTGAGCTTTGTGTAATTTAAGCATGGCTCTAAATTCTCTTCCTCCTAAAGCTGATCTTTGTGGTCTTATTCAAATTTTTGTAGAGACCTGGCTGCGTGTGTCTGCATATTGCACGTCTTAAAGGTATCTGGAGGTGGAGGAAAAACAAAAATAGATCTCAGGTGCCCCAAACCACTTGTATATTCAGAATCTAGACTTCTGCTTAAGAATTGCGTACTTCTGCATTTGGTCTTTTGCATACGGCAAAGAGCAAACAAGGAGTGCCACAAGCACAGAACTGATGTGTTCATTTGCTGTCCAGAAAACTTTAAGTTAGCGGCTTACCCAAAGTATGGTTGGTATAATGTCAAAACATAAATGACAAACTGCACAGTAACTGTATTGTCCCATTAGTAAAAATCTTTGTAAAATTACTGGCTTAGATCTGCTGTGTTGCAGAAGGCTGGCATCAGTGTTGCTTTCTGCTACCTCAAACCACGATCCTCTGGAGGATTAAGTGGCTTAGTAAATTAATGGAAAAAAATTCAAAGGAATGTATGAGAACAATAGTGTATGCTGGAAGTTTGTTCTTTTTTGCATTTAATGATTTAATTTTTGCAATAGCTGTTCTCTAAAAACAGATCTTCATTTTCTCCTGAATCAGAACCATGCTCAATTCTCAAATATTTTCTCTGAAAACAATCCTGATTAAAATCTGTAACTTAAGACTAAATTGGGCACTGAAGCACTGAAAGAAGCTAAAACTTGTTTTTCACTATTGTGGGAATGGTATAGATGAGGGTATTGCATGGAAGGATACCTTATTGAAAGAAAGCAGAGTTTTAGGGAGCTATGCTTGATACCTTACACACAAACTAAAGTGTCTTGAGGGCTAGAGGTGGCAAGCAAGTCAGTAAAGAAAACTGCAAGATGAGCTAAAACACAGTGAAAGAACTGTCAGTCCTGTCTGCAGGTAGGATGAGCACACTAGATAATACTTCTGGAAGAGACTGATTTCCGAAAGACTTTATATAGGCTGTTATATCTTCATAGGTTCAAGTGTAGCCTCAGAGCATTAGAAAATAGTCAGAAAGATTTATTACAGGCTGAGAAAATAGTTGTTTCAAAACTGTTAATTGCCAGCAGTGTGAAGTATTGGAACTAAGACTGCAGAGACTTGATGTCTTCTACAAAACCAGCAGAACCCAGAACATCTGTAATTTAGGCCTCATATTTCAGTGCATGTTTCAGTAAGGTTGCATGTTTAGTTTGAGGATATTCTGAAGTAGTGTGCACAGTGCAGCTTCTTGATTGCTGTTCTGTGGGAGATTTTAAACATGCTCCATGTTTGCCCTCTTTTCTGATAGGGAAATTGTTACCCTTTATGAGTAAGGCAACTATATATAGAAAATGTTTCATTCGGAAGTTGAATATGCATGAACCACTGGAAGTTTTAGTATTCAGTAACAATGGACTATTGAAGTGATCTACCACATGTAACTTGAGTGGTTATATGTGTTCTAATGTTCTAATTCTTGTTCTAATTCTGTTCTAGTACCTTGTTCTAATTATTTCTCTTTTTCCAAATTTCAGGAATTGTGAATGACAAAGATTCCAAAGATTCCATTACGGAAGGAGAGAACCTAGAAGAGGATGAAGAAGAGGAGGAAGGTGGAGCAGAGACAGAGGAACAATCTGGAAATGAAAGTGAAGTAAATGAGCCAGAAGAAGAGGTGAAGTTAATAATTTACCTTGCCTTGCATAAACAGAATGAGTAATCGATATTTTGATTACTCATTATCTTCTGAAACCTTTCTGTGTCACAGACGTAGCAGGTGAAATGTGGGTATGCACAACCCAGTCGGTACCCTGAGAGTATTTCCATCCCAGTTTTGTACATGTGGAAAGCTGAATACAGACTCTGAGGCTTATTCCAGAGAAATTACCACAGAAACTTGAACCTGACAGCTTTGCTCATGGTGTGTGCTGCTTCTCAGCAAAAAGATGCCTTTAGATTTTTGGCATGAAAACACTTTCAGATAATGTTCTTTACCTGGTGTAGAAGCAAATGTATTGACTAGATGTCAAAGCAGTCATGTAGGAAAAATAACAGGTGTTCAGAGTATGCCTGTATAATATGAATAAATGAAAGATTTATGGAGCATAACAACCTTCCTTGTTTACTGTGCTAGTAATCTTTTGAATCAAAAATGGCAGAGCCAATAAAAAAAAACAGACGTGTACATAGAAATTCTGATTTGTCACTGTGACACAGTAAAGTTGACATGATAATGGTAGTGTTCTGGGAAAATGAGTTCATCAAGGAAATAAGAAACACTTTTTGTCCTTATGCTTGTCTTGGTTGGTTTACTAGCAAGATCTCTTACCTCCAAGGCAGGTGCAGACTGGATATTAGGAAAAATTTCTTTACTGAGAGTGTGGTCAAACACTGGAGCAGGCCGCCCAGTGAGGTGTTGGAGTCACCATCCCTGGAGGTGTTCAAAAAATGTGTAGACGTGTCACTTCAGGACATGATTTAGTGGACATGGTGATGTCAAGTTGACGGTTGGATTTGATTATCTTAGAGGTCTTTTCCAACATTTATGATTCTTCTAGGCTGTGCCTCTCAGCATTAAAATTCCTGAAATTTGGCTGGGTTTGTGCCTTTACCCACGAATTAATAATATTATTAGAGTCATAAATGGTTGGAGGGTTGGGGAAAGGACCTCTGGAGATCTTCTTGTCCAGCCTCCCTTGCTCAAAGCAGGGTCACTTACAGCAGGTTACCTGAGGCAATGTCCAGTCAGGTTTGAATATCTCCAAGGAGAAAGGCTCCACAACCTCTTTGGGCAATCTGTTCTAGTGTTTATACACCACCATAGTAAAGACGACTTTTTTTCTTTAAATTAAATCTTTCAACTTGGGCCCATTGCGTCCAGGTCTGTCCCTGGGCACCACTGAGAAGAGTCTGACTTGCTTATTTGCTCCCTCCCTTCAGGTATTTGTACACAATGAGAAGATCTCCCACCAGTTCCCCAGACTAAATGCTAACTCTCTCAGCCTCCCCTCCTATGACAGGTGCTCTAATCCCTTAATCATCTTCACAGCCTGTTGCTGGACTTCCTTCAGTATGTCTATGTCTCTCTTGTACTGGAGAACCCAGCAGCACTCCAGATATCTTACCAGTGCCGAGCAGGCAGGAAGGATCACCTGCTTTGACTTGTTGACAACACTGTTTCCTAGTGCAGCCAGCTGGCTTTGCTGCAAAGGTGCATTGCTGGTTCTTGGTCAGTTTGTCCACCAGGACCCTGGGTCCTTCTCTGCTGAGCTGCTTTCCAGATGGGCAGCCTCCAGCCTGAGTGAATGAGGTTCTTGCTCCTCAGGTGCAGGACTTTGCATTTCACTTTGTTGAACTTCATGAGTTCTTGTCAGTGCATTCCTCCAGCTTGTTGAGTTCCGTTGGAGTGGCAGC